CTGAAAGGGGGGGCGTTAGAGGGAATAGTTGGCCTGGCTGAACAGGTGAGGTCTTGTGTTCTCCTGTAAAGGGGGTGGGGCTGCGATGATGCAGCACCCAGGGAGCCATCGGGGGTTAAAGGTCATCAAAGTACAGTGATAAAGCTTCTCTGTGTCTGAACTATAAAAGCTGGTTACCAGGCAGGCCGTGGTCCCGGCCCCTCTGCAGGTTCAGCGCTCCCAGGTCCAGAGGCATCCCTCCGTGTGCCTGAAACAGCTTCTCTGTGAGCTCCTCCACCATCATCTGACCTGCAGTTTGCAGCTTGGCGGGAGAGAGCAGCATGCCTCGCAGCACAGGGTCAATACCCCCTAATGAAACGCCAGGAGAGAATAAAACGCTGAAACTTAACCAATGCAGGTGAGTTTGGTTATAGGACGTCCTTCACCTTCCTCCACGACCCTCCAGGAGGCAAACAGTGAGTGATGAAGAGGAAGAGGAGGATATTTGGGGTTAAGGGTGTACTCTGGACCCAGCCGGGTCACCATGGGCTGTATGGTGACGTGTGCAAAACGAAAGGCGGCAGTAGCGAAGGTGTTGGCGATACTTGGGTCCATGTCTGGATCATACTGCTGGTAGGGCGGCATCAGCCGGGTCATGGCGCCCTCACCCAGCACACGTGGCAAGTAGCGCTCCCAGGTTAGGATCTGGAAAAAGGAAGTTAGGAACTGTGAGAAAAGTACCAGTGTTATATTTCTACATTTATTTTTATTTGTATTGCTTTATGATTTACAACAAATACCTACTTCCAATGGAAGTCAATTCTATTCCTCTATCTATTTAGAAGTCCAGGGAGGGCTGCAAAGTTTTCTGTTTTTCTTGTGGTTCTTTAAAAAAGACTCCAATTGGAAAATATAAGATATCTTAAAAAAAGCCCGTAATATTTGGAACTCTTAACAAGTTTGATTTAGCTGAACTGCTAGAAAAACAGGTATTCAGCTATAAAGGATAGAGTGGTGTCCAAACCTTTATCTATGAAATAGTGTTGAGGTTAAAATTTCATAAGGTGAATAAATATTAATTTATTTATTTTTAATTATTGAACATTTGAGTGGCTACAGATTTTGCACCGTGAAAAATAGTCAAATATTTCCTTATAAACCGATATTATACTGATTGAAATAAATGGTTGTGTCCAAATGAGGTTTTTAATATAAGGTCACTTGTGGTCTGTGGTCCTGTTTTCTATAAAACTAAACTAAAAGAAAAAATACAAGACTGATGATTCCCCAGAAAG